CATACATACATACATACATACATACATACATACATACATACATACATACAGACAGACAGACAGACAGACAGAGAGACAGACAGACAAAGAAAGGAGGAGGGGAGTAAAAAGATGACGCAAAAACCGACCTACAAACCCACATTAAACCACAAAATACAATATTACAGTCTTTGACGTTTAAATAAAAGGAAAGAACAAAAATACGTACATGTACTATCCTTGCACAAACGTTCTTTTTGCACAACTTTCAGACCAGGAGGTGAATGTTTAAGGAATGTGCCCCCTATGAATGGCAATGGTGCCAGAGGTCAGATCATGGGCGCAGACAGTCAATGTCAACTGGCCAACGGTCGGCGATCAACCTACTGCCGGGTACGTCTCCACCATAGCTCGCAATAATGGACAAAAGGATGTACCCTCGAACGACGAACTATTGGTCTTAATCCCTGAATCTAAAATCCTCGGAAATACAAACATCTTGCCGGCGATGCTTTGGTGATAATTTGATACCAGTATGCGCAACGTTTTTTTTAAAATAACCAAGTCAAGTAAGGGTTGGAGATTGTAGTTGGAGGACTGGACCTGTGAGATTTGTATGGTCTGGTAATCTTGTACGATGACCAATCACTTCTCTGACTTCTTTTCATGTCTGGTCCTTGGCAGCAGACGTCAGTTGCTTGACGTTTATTGTTAATTCTGTTCTTTGTTGTTTCTCCTCCAGATTCAGAAAGAAAGTAGAAATCAATGTATTCAGCTGGGGCCTGGTGAAATAACTGTGGAAGTGGGAGTGAAAACTTCTACAGGCTTTGGTACGGTGGATCTAGTAGATTCTTGTCCTGCCTACACAATGTATAGGTCCAAGCCGGCACCGCTGTACGTGCTGAATCGTATCCCGAGCTACAGCAACATCAAAGATAGTACAACATCAAGGATCGAAAACTTTTATACCCGTGGTATCGAGGACGAGATTTACACTAAAGATTAGATAGTCGTCGTTCGAAGGATCGAAGGAGGTGGCATGTTAGTCGTGTTGACGGTAGTTTGTGGCTAAACGGTTTTTATTTTTGGTTTTGTTTGACGGTAGTTTGTGGCTAAAAGTTTGTCGATTGAGGGTAGTTTCAGTTTGTGGCTAAAAGATTTTTTGTTGGAGGGTAGTTTGTGGCTAAAAGTCTGTCTTTTAAGGGGAGACTGTGGGGG